GGTGAAAAGGGAACCCTTGTGCACGGTTGGTGGGAAGATAAATTGGTATAGCCCCTATGGAAAATGATATGGAGGTTCCTCAAAAAATTAAAAGTAGGACTACCATACATTCAGCAATTTCACTCCCAGGTTTTTATCCAAAAGGAACAGAAACACTAACTTGAAAAGATACATCCACTTCATTGTTCATTGTAGCATTATTTACAATAGCCAAGATATGAAAGCAGCCCAAGTGCTCATTGATAGATGAGTAAAGAAGATGTGGTGTATAAATCTACAATAGACTATTACTCAGCTCTAGAAAGAATGAAGTCTTGCCTTGGCAACTTCATGGATGAACCTAGAGGATATTATGCTAAGTGAAATCAGCCAGACAAAGACAAATACTTTATGATTTCACTCATATGTGAAACCTAAATAACAAATGAACAAATATGACAAAACAGAAACAGATTCATAGACTCAGAGAAAAAACTGGTGACTGCTAGAGGGTGGGGCATGTGGTGGATGAAATCGATGAAAAGGATTAAGAGGTACAAATTTTCAGTTATAAAATAAGTCAACAGGATATAATGCATAGCACAGAGAGTATAGCCAGTAATATTGCAGTAATTTTGTACGGTGACCAATGGTAACTACACTTACTGCCATGATCATTCCATAATGTGTAAAAATATCCAGTCACTGTGTTGTGCCTTGATGCTTATATATACTGTAAGTCAATTATACTTCAGTTAACAAAAAAGAAGAAATAAACTGCAGTGTTTGCCATCATTCCTAGTCTTTTAATTCAGTATCAGTAAGGAATAAGCTGGAGAAGTAGAAACAGTAGCAATATAGATGTATTTTTTGTTTTTATATTACAAATCAAAGGCTTGCTTACAGGGAGTTAGCTTGTGGGGCTGGATAAGCAGTTCCTGCCTGGCCGTCTCTGTGCCTGGTGCTGGCCTGACGTTCAGAGGGCGGGCAGTTGGGAAGCGACAGTCACCAAGCAGACTAGAATCACATGAGGATGCGCTGGAAGCTCATAAGGATGGATGGAAATCCATGTTCGTTCTTGCTGCTTCTGACTTGGTGATGTGGGTAATCTGCAGAAGCTGAGACCCTTCATCACAGAGCCAAACACATACACCTGACCCAGGCACTGCTTCATACAAGTGAGGTCCAATCCCAGACTGGCTTTGAAAGCTTTTTTAAATACAACTTGGACATCGTGTTCTACGGTTTTTGTTACTTTCACACAAGCTAGAGAAGCAACCCCATGTCCTTCAATCACACTTACTTGGTTCTTTCCTAATCTTGGGTAAGCCTCAGAAAGTTTAGCTCTGTTGGTGACAGGATATCACTGCGTCAGCTGTGCTCCTGAGTATTTATGCCACCCAAGCTGCACTGGCTCTTCACTGCTCATTTCCTACTTGTTTATTACTTCACACTGATGACTTGCAACTGTGTCTTTTCTGAGCCTTTTTCATACATCTCAAGCTCTCAAATTTAGCCTCAATCTTCTAACATGGACTATAACCTTATCTCTTCTATCTCAGAGAATATAAGAAATAAAATCATGTGAAATTCCTGAATTTCTTTTCCTTCTCTGTGGCCTCAGAGAAAAAGTATCTAAATCCTCTCCTAGGCAGGTTACTTTCCTAAAACTGGTGATAGGACTTCACTACCTCAACAACCTCTTCTTCCTTTTGAATCTTTTCTCTCTTCCCCTCCACTAGACTTATATACATGTTCACATCATCCATTTCCTTAAAAATGTATCTAGAGTCCCACCCCTATTCCTTTTTTAAACCAGCTTCCACCACAACCACTCTATGAAAAGTCCTAAAAACAAATAACCTCCTAACTGGTAAGTGTAACAGCCTCTTTCCTGTTGTCATTCTCCCTGGCCTTTCTGCAACCTGTGGCCAAGTTTCCATCTTAATGCTGTCATCTTTGATCACTCCCCAGTCTCCTTTGTCATCTCCTCCTTCTTTCCTGGCTCCTAAATGTAGGATTCTCTCAAGATAATCAATATTCTTTCCTTGGCCTACTTACTCTAAGCTGTTCCATTGAGATCCCTTAAGAATTCAAAGGGTTCTTTTATGTGAATAATTGTCCAACAAAGATATAATTCAAGCCACATATGTGACTTTAATTTTCCTAGTAGCCACCACAGAAAAAGTAAAAGAAACATTAATTTATCATACTTTAATTGAATATACCCATGATACATTTTAACATGTAATCAATTAAAAATTACTAATGAAATATTTTACATCCTTTATTTGTAGCATGTCTGTCAATATCCATTGTGTACTTTACACTTAGAGCACATCTCAGTTGGTACTAGTCTTATTTCCAGCACTCACTAGTCTCATGAAGCTAGTAGCCACTGTCTTGGGCGTTCCAACTCTGGAATCTACAAACCTGTCCTGAATTCTGAGTTCCACAGCTGGAATCCAACTGCTACTGAGATCTAACATTCATCCTCTTGTATAATCTGTCACTCATAGTGGTAGCAATTATCTGTAAAAATATGAGACAAAGATTTTACCCCATTACTCACATATCTTTATGGCTTTCTACTTGCCGAATAAAAGGCAGCATGATGAGCATAATT